GATTATTCACTAAATGAGCATTGTGTATAGCGTAGCAGAAGCGTGGTGGTTTTTGTACTACGGGTAGACGACTTTCTGATCACTGGAGACAGTGTAAGGATGTTGTCAGACGTAGAGGTATGGTTATCCAAGCAGTTAGACATGAAACATTCGTAAGAATCAACACATGTTCTTGAGGTCAAGGGTCACAAAAAAGAAATGTTGCGATCATCCTAAGCTTAGTGTCTAGGCACTGTCATAAAGCTCATTGTTAGCATGCATGACACAGAGACAGTTCCTCATGCGTGGCAATAGGAAGCCTAGTGCATGCGATGCAGTAAATGAGGCATGATACCTATTTTTGCCATGGACATAGTTTATAGATATCAAAGTAATCTTAGATGGGCGCAATGGTTATTGGTAGAACATATGATCAAGCAATTGTAACTGGGCTAATGATAATATGTAGGGTTACCAAAAGAACCATATGCAGCCTATGGATTACAAAAGATTCTATTTTCTAATCAGATGTGAACAATAAGTAAAATCTACCTTAAGATTTGTGTTTACTTGTGAGGAGGAACCAATAGTTTGAAGAAATGTCAAGCAGTAAAATGTTGACGGATTCTACCAAGGAAACTCAGTAAGTCGCAGGCTGAAGAGCAAGCGATGGAAGAGGTTTGACTTCGAGAACCACTGTTGGACTAGAAATGTGAAATCTCTTTTTGCCCAAGTCAGATCACATTTGACTGTCATGATAGTTGGAGCAGTTGCAAACGAAAAGGAATCACAAGTTCATTAGGCAAGTAAGTGCATAGAGCAAGTACGACCCATTGTGAATGATCGCAAAGGGTGGATGTTTGTCACTTAGTTACATCAATAGACGACCAAGTAGATCCTTTTAGAATTGGTTTTCTGACGAAAGCAAATGATGGCCATGTTAAGGAATTGGGAGTCGGATGTATGGAAATTAGGACAATAGTTCTTTGAGAATAAAGATTCAAAGAGTGTATGCTTTGAAAAGCCGAGAGCTTTAAAGTATAAGTGGGAGATTGTTGGAGTATACCGTAAAAGCTCGGGTTTTTGTTACTCAGCAATTCCATTTTGAATGAGATGTGTGTTTTTTGTCAAGTGGATGTGTGTTTTTTACATTGTAGATAATATGGTTTTGGGTCTGGAACAGTAAGATCATATTATCGGTTCCTTGTAAAATATAAATGATGGTTCACAGTTTAGACGGAACTAATCTTCCTGTCGTGAAAGACTGTAGTGTGATCTTGGAATTAGTTGATATTAGACTAATGGATTATACTAGTACATCTGATATGTATTGAACGGACCTACAAGAGGATAAGATTATTTTATACTGACCAAGTAAATAAACTAGACCTCATTATTTGTTGCGTATTATTAACCCGTAAGACAATGTACGGGCATAGGTAGTCGGAACTTACTAATTTGATTTATCATGGGTGAAACTTATTCTACTAGGTCGACATACTCGATATTTTGGTAAGTAATGTCGGTAGCAAGATGTGCCGTCAATATTGTTTACGGTCATCATATCCCGAAAATGACCGGGTTGATGACGTTCCTGAAATGAGCTCGAGAAGGATTATTATGTGAAGCCCTGCCAGCGATTAATTTCTGACATAATAATAAAGAATTGAATGGTATTAGGTTTGGATTCGAGAAGTTGATTAATTATATTGTCAGTATTTAATTATCAACAGACGTTAAATCTTAAATACAAGGATGTAAATCAAGCAATAAATAAGGAAACGAATTAAATGTAATTCAAAGTTAAATTGAGAGTGGAATAGCATTTATGTAGTGCAGTGATTTATTATTCGAGTATTTAGTGGAGTGGGATTGCCCCACAGTTGGGCTCATACTTTGGAAGTCCATAATTAACACCTCCTTAGGGTCTTTACTGTAGCCCTATAAATACACCAAGTCTCAAGCCTCTAAAAACAAGAGATTCAATATACACACGCATGGCTTCTCTTCAAGAGATGCGATCGGTTTGAGAGAGTTTGTGAGTTTTGAGAGCTTCATTCTATCGCTCCACCAAGATCGTTCAGAGAAGGTTTTTGGGTAATATAGTAGAAGATCTTTCGGTCTTTTATTTGTATCTCGTCCCATATATTTTTACACTATAGTGTTTCTATAATTCGCGGGGTTGTCCATTCCTCATAAAAATCGAAAATCATGACCACTGGAGACCGACGATCATCATCCTACACTTGTCGTAGTCAGCCGCGCTCAGTCACATCCTGGCCGCACTCAGCCACAGTGGACCCCTGTAGTCCCGCGCGCACCGTCCATACCTGCACAGTCCAATCCCACCACGTGCAGCACCGCAGAGACTTGCTCCCCAGCACCCGTAGACGCGCGACTCGCATTTTTACCGCGCATGCATTCTCCAGCGGGTGACGTATGTGCTTTCGCGTGACCCGCGTAGGTTGCCAGCGAGACCTGAAATCTTCTCGCAAGAACCGCGAGCTCCGCGTGCGACTCGTGCTGTTCCAGCATCACATGCAGCGTCCAACGCCCGTGTACCAGGCGACCTAGGTCTCTCCCAGCGTATAGCTCGCGTGCTCACTGCCCCAAACCCGGGTCAGCCCAGCCAGCAGCTGTCTAGTTTGGTTCAACCGCGCACTCAACTCCCGGTTCGAGTCCAGACCTGTTTAGTAGTGGTCGAGCAGCCCCAGCGAGTCCAAGGCAAGTTTCGAGTAGTTCGACCAAGCTACCAGAGGTCCAGGACGGTCCGACGGGATCAACGAGTGACCAGAGACATGAAACGCAAGACACGATCAAGGTCCGGTGATGGCGAGGCCTAGTTTGGCAACCCAACAGACTCTGAGGTTCAGACAATCTCCACAAAAATTTTAAAACCGTAAGTCCTAATCCTAACTGTAGATTCCATTACATTAGGATTTATTTTTAATATATTCGAATGTGTAAATGGACGTCTTTCTCATAGAACCCAACAGATGGTGAATCATACTCGTCACTTTTATTACCTTCATTAAAATAATATATATATATATATATAGTCGTTAGAAAACTTTGTCTTCACCCTCTTGAGAATTTGCACGTAACGTATCTCTTCATCTTACATATATGCTCAAATTTCACGATCGTACATTACGAGGGTCAGAATGAGATGAGCCTAGTATAATAGTAAGTCGAAGAGGAAGCTTTGACAAGACCTACGCTACGGGATTAGGCGATGTTGCGTATGGATTTTTCGATCAAAGTGAAATCTTCAGTTTTTTCCTCTTCCTCTATTCATATCCCATAGGTACAGAATCAATAGAGAACCTTTTCTTCTGTATGAATCGATCTTATTCCATTCGGCACAGGTAGTTATGACCTTGGTGTATATTACTTCTTTCCTCTATGACTGAACTTCTAAAGATGTAATTAACCTTGGGTGAAATCATTTCCTGATATCATAAGCCCTTTTACTCACTCATAAAGGTTGGGAAGGAATTGGAATTGCGAACTACATCGTACACTACAAGAAGGGAATTTTGGTGCGGATGCTTCTTATTTAGAGAGGAGCGCTGCTTGTGATATGGAGCTTTATTTTGAAATTTTATTGTCTCCTCCTGACTCTCTGAAAGGCTTTCTCCTTTAAGCTCTTTCATAAGCTGAGCTTTCCTCTATGACTGAACTTCTAAAGATGTAATTGACCTAAGGTCTTTGACTTCACTTCGCTTTAATGTTTTTCTTTCTTTTTCTTATTGATTTATGAATATGAAGTTTTCAAGATATATGCATAAGACATAATCTACGAATTAATCTACAGTAAAACCTCTATAAATTAATAATGTAGGGACCATAAAATTTTAATAACTTAGAGAGATACTAATTAATCAATAAAATTAATAATTTATTAATTTAAAGAGTGCTTGATTTAGCAAATATAGATTTTGGCAAGTGTAGTTTGTACTTGGTGAGCAAGTAGACTTGTTAGGAAAGAGTGTTAATTAAATTTGGAAAGAAATTTATAGGTACAAGAGTAAAAAATATATTAGGAAAGGAGTTTCTTGGTCAACAAGTATTAGGTAGCTATAAATATGTGGTTTATATTTTATGGTTTTATATGTATGTGTAGTTTCTTATCCAACAATGACGTCTCATCTAAAAGGGGTTCAAAAATCAACCATGACCGATCAAATCAATTTAGATTTGAATTTTATGAAGAAACAAAAAACAATAGATTCATATTTTATTAAATTGCCTTAATTATATTTGTAATTTTAGAGGATTATTAATTTTTGATATTGATGGGACTATATATTTATAAAAGGGTCTTTCTAAAAATTATTATCTTATTATTTTATTGAAATTTACAATTTTTTACATTGACAGAATATATTATTTTAGAGAGATTATTAATTTATCGAGTCTTAATTTACAGAGGTTCTACTGTAGTTCTTAATCGATTTCTTTTAAATACCTCAAAGATATCATGAACTTATTTAATTTTACAATATCCGGTAGTTTCCTCAAGTCACGACTAACGAATTCCCATGGAAACTGATTAAGGAAATAGATAGCCGTTTAACACAATCAAAGTGTCAAATTGACTCTATCAAAGAAACGAGAATACACTATTACAACAGACAATAGTGACAAGGGATCTTCTAGGGTCAGGTACCCCTCGTACGTGTATAACATCAGATACCCCCTTATTAACCATTAGATTTATTCAAGATTGAATATCAACCACATATTCAATGTACGAGACAAAAAAGAATTTACCTCGTACATGAATTGCCTCGTACATGGCTCGTACACCTCGTACATGACAAAAAACCTATAATACCCTTATGTCATTAAATATTAAAACTTATAAAATAATAATTATATTTATTTTAAAGACCTTACATTTGTATTATTTGTATAACAATCCTTCAAACACAAAAATATATATCATCACAACCTTAATTAATCTCCCAAAAATCAACATCCACATCAATATCTCCTCCTTCCTCCAAACCTTGAGTCGGGCCCAATCCCAAACCCCTCCCACACCCGCCGCCCCGTCGCCGGCCTCCGACGCCTGCGTCGGATTATTCCTCTCTTACTCCTACGAAAGCGGAAGGATCCTCTCGCCGATTCAGCCCTCGGATCCACCTACGTCTGCTCCACCTCCAACGATCGCCCGATTGAAGCATCTCGATAGAAATAGAGGCCGACCCGATGGGACTCGATCGGACCTGAAAAGTCATCCACTCCAGCCTCTACGCCTCGCTACGGACGAACTTGCCCCGGGAGGTCATGGGTTTCCGGGCCTACCCGTTCGTGGCAAGCGGGAAGCCCGGGAGAGATCTGAGGAGGTTTCCGGGTCACGTTAGGTTTTGGAGTATTTGAGAGATTTTTCTGACGAGTTTAGGCTCGGTGAAGTGGTTAGGTTTAGGAGTGAGATGTCCCATGTGGTGTTTGCGGAGGGTCGGAATTGGTCGGTAAGATCGAAAATTGGGAATGAGAAACGTGGATACGATGAGGTGTACGACGCCGTGGTAGTCTACAATGGGCATTATACGGAGCCCCGGGTTGCAGATATACCTGGTAACGTCTTCTAGCCCGGTTCATATTTTATTGTCTATGGGTGGCCGAAAAATTGGAGCTTTATGTGTAATTTTGCTGTTGAGCTTGTCTTTGTTAAGCAATTACTGCTAACAAATTTGCGTCTGTGTAGTCTGCCTATTGAAAAGTAGATCTTTTTACTTTTTGATATGAAGATCAGGTGAGTAGAGATTGATTATAAGTCAATAAAGTATGTACAAATGAATGTGCTTATGTTCATCAGCTGCAAAAGTGGAATAGTTAGGATCAACATAGGGTCAGGTGAGTAGAGATGGATTTTAAGCTATTTTTTATTACAATAATAGGATTTGTTTTCCACTCTGCTTTATGCTAATATGTTTGGCAAATGGAGCAAAACTAAAATGAGGTCCTTTGGAATGAGGTCCTTTGGAGAGGTTCATTTGGGTTATGGCATAAAGAAACTTGACGGACGATACTATCAAGTTAGAACTTCTTTCCCTGCAACGACACATTTGTTTCAGTGAAATCACGTGTCTGTTTTGTTTGTTAGATTTCACGTTGGCTTGCTTTTTTTATTTTTTGTTTAATTATTAGTAAATTGTCAATTTTATGGCTTGACTTGCAGTTTATTTGTATTAGTTAATGTTTGAGTTTGTTGCGAAGTTGGTTAGTTTTGCTGCAGGGCATTACTCAATCATTCTGTAATTTGGCGTCCGTTTGCCACATGCCATTGTTATTTGAATGAAAATAGGAGGGATAGTGGTTATCTAGCAAATCATTTACAATTCTCATAATGCTTTTGGTGAATTTGATTTCTGGCAGAATATTCTTGTTTGAACAAAATGATGTCTGCAAAGTCGAATGAGTTCAGTATACCATCGAACTTCATCACTTTGGTCTTTTTTTTTTTCCCAAGTACGGTGTAATGGATCTTTTTTCATAACCATCTGGAGCTTTTTTGGAGTTTGTTTTTCAAATAAGGGAAAAGAATTGTTGATTCAACCATTCAGTTTACCTGAGAAACCAGTAAGGAAGTAACATATCCCGCAATTAGTTGATTTTGCCCTTTCTGTTGTCCAACTTTTTCTTTGGTGCCCAACATTAGTCATCAGAACTTGGTTTGATGGTGATCACATGAAGGATTTAGTCATTATTAGTTCCACTGATTTTTCTAAGGCCATTCTATGGCATAGATTTGTACTGTCAGGAGGAACAGGCACTTGCTTGATAATGGGTCTTATGATTGTTTTTTGTTAGAGTGCAGTTAATGTGTAGAGCTTTTTTGTGGAATAATGCTTGGGTGTATGCCCGTTTGTAAGTATCATTGATTTAAGTGTTACTATCTCTAATTGAGAAGAAATTCATTCAGAGTCAGTCCAAAGAACCTTTTATATGGTTTGGCTGCAGGTCTATCGAAACCATATTTCGCAGCCCTACAACCAACTAGATCTCTGGTTTTTAAGAATTATGGAAAAAAAAAAAAAAAAAAAATATTCTTGCAATATTTGAAAATCGAAAGGACCACCAGGTAGTCCTACTCATTTTTGACCTTCTATGAACGCCATCTATTTACTCGCCTCCAGTTTCCCTTAGTCCCTGCGTAGCGCATTGTTCCACATGTTTTCTTTCCTCTCCTTCCTTTTTATTTTATTCTCTCTCTCTTTTTTTTTATGTATATTTTGTTTATATTTATATTTTTATTCATTTTAACATTGTTTACTATCAGACTTTTCAGTTGCTTTTAATTTCATTGTCTGTTTTTATTTTATTTTTTTCTTTTTCTGTTTCTATTTTTTGGTGTTTGTCTTTTAGTTTTTCTATTTTTATTTACTCCATTGTTGCCAACTAAAATGATTTACATTATCTTCAGGTCTTATACTGGGAATTGACAACACGAGTACCAATATTTTTTCATATCCTTCTTCTCTTTCTGTTTCCATTGGTGTATTTGCTTAACACTTATGTTATATAGTTTTGACTTGTCGTCTTGGCATATTTGAGTTTTATTCTGTAATTTGGACTTGAACATGTAAATGCATCATCTATATATTTTGTTTAAACTTTGGTACGTTATGTTAGCGAGGCCTTGCTTGTCTCCTTATAGAATCCTATGGTCCTCAGATTGCCATCGGCCACTAATACTATGCATCTGTAGTCCTATGGCTGTCGCACCATGATTTGAATTTCACATATTTATTTTGTTTCTTGCTCGTGCGGTTTAGTCATAAAACAGACTTTTGCGTAACAGCATGTTTTGGATTATCTATTGATGGTTATTCTTCCATTATCCACCCTTTCTGTACTTGTCATCAGTTAACTCTTTATATGAATTGTTAAGGATCCTATTATATTCAAAAGGTTGAGTTTTTAGTAATTTTGATTTTTTTTTTATCCTGACATGCTATGGCATAATTTCTACTGTTAGTGGGCGCTTGGCTCCAAAAGACAGCTATTATGATTATTTACAAATTTATCTTTTCGCTACTTTTGACGTGGTGATACTTTAACACTTTCTTGTCATCATATTATGCAGGAAGTGCATGCCATAATCAAAGTTTCATCAATATAATCCCGGGTTGCAGATATACCTGGTAACGTCTTCTAGCCCGGTTCATATTTTATTGTCTATGGGTGGCCGAAAAATTGGAGCTTTATGTGTAATTTTGCTGTTGAGCTTGTCTTTGTTAAGCAATTACTGCTAACAAATTTGTGTCTGTGTAGTCTGCCTATTGGAAACAAGTAATGGATTTTTCACTCAGTACTGCCATGCGAACTCCTATCAAGAGTCCCAGGTGTTATATATGTTGATTAGTTTTGAATCTAGAGAGAACTTAGTTACATATATGTTCATATATGCTCGTTCTTTCACGAATGACTAAATTTTTGTAGGCTCCCTTCTCGATGAAATATTGACAGGTCATTCACTTTTCCCATTTTTCATTTACAGGCGGAGATATGCAACTGAGAGGCAAAAAGGCTTTTTAATTGCTGAAAATTTTGATTACTTACAGTCGAAGTTGTTGCAAAGATTTTTTTCATTGTTTCCAAACCGATGGGTAGAGTTGGTGACTGGTTAAATGAGGTGCTTGCCATAACTCATTAATTGATTTTTTTTCCTATATGCCAGTCTAAGTCTTTTCGTCGCTGTGGCCAAGAGATTTTTTTACCCTGGACTTATGACTTATCAGATATATAATATGATGTGATAAGGAACGTCTCATAGTCTATTATGAGATCCTTACAAGGATGTTGGATCTTATTCTCCAGAACTTAGAAACTTTATTAACAATTCTCAATTTGTAGGGACTTTGTGCTTCGCATCAGGAAAGCATGCGAAAAAGTGGACTTACTGGGGAAGGAATTACTAATGATTGTTCTTGGGATAATAATCTCTATTCTGGCTTCAAATGGTGATATAATGCGAACTTTGGTTTAGCGATTTTGAGAAACTGGTGATATAGCATATTTTTTCTGTTTCCTTGGACTTTTTCCAGCAGAAGGAAGAACATGTCAAGAGCCTATTATTGTTGTTTTACTCGATTGCCGACTTTCCTAGTGTTTGTAGATGATGAGATTTTGACGGATGCTAGTGTTATTAATGCTATTTGGCATTAACATTATTCATTATTGTTTTTGTTCTAGTTTGTTTAAGTTTCCATTTGAGTATCATAACTTCAATGTTGGCTAGTCAGGGAAATTGAGCTTCATTGGGTTTTACTTTGTTTTGAAAAACGCGCCCACAAAGGGAGCTTAGGTAGATATCGCACGGGATATAGATAGGATTGTTAATGTAATTAAAATATTATATTTATTAGTACTCTTTGGCTATTGGTTGTGCACCTACACAGTCAGACCCAATTTAGGTTTTATTTTGTCTTTAATACATAAAATAAATAATTTTACATATTTTGGTTCATCCTAATACTCAAATATTATTTTATTTAAAAATTAATTGTCCTATAATGTCATTTTTATTTATAAAACTTATAGAAGTAATATTCTTTTTTATATACTGATAAATATTTAAAGTATATTAATATTATTTATTGATGTATATAAGCAAATTTATTGAAAAATGTTACCAATTGTAGCAAAATTCAAATTTTTAGTTGGGAATTTACTTTCTACTTAAATTAAATCCCTATTGCTATTATATACTAATAAATTATAAAGTAAATGATATTGCTTACAAAAATCTATTTAAATAATAAAAGCTTATAAATTATTTTAATAAAATTATAAAGTAAATGATAGTGCTTACAAAAATCACTTTTAGCGTCATTAATTTTCATTTTCTCAAAATGTACTCGATTCATATTTATAATAGGTATATGATCAATTTTCATTATCAGATATATTTTTCTACTAATTATTTAAACTTTATGACAAATGTAACAATTTAATAATATCATGAACTAGTATTTGAAATATGTTTGATTGTTTATCTAATAATTTCCTTACTTTATCATTTTTGTGTTACGTATTCAATCTTATTAGTATCAATTTTCATAACATTTTTTTGTCTTTCACTCAACATTTTCAAATGTAAATATTTTCATAATATTTTTAATTAAATAATAAATATATTTACAAAATAATTATTTAATTTTTATTATAATTATATTGGTTTATAAAAAATAAAAATATAATAGTAGAGGTTAATAAAAAATTAAATGGTAAAAAAAAACTAAAAATAATATCAACTACTATTATTTTTAAAATTGGGCTAAACTGACTGTTGAATCTATCGGTCAAATGGTTGGATTCCTTTGAACGAACTAGTTTCAATGAACCAGTCAGAATTAGTATAAAAAATATAAATTTTAAATATTTTTTATACTAAAAAAGTATATAAATACTTATTAACTTATTTAATATATATATATATATAATTCAAATATATTTAAATTTATAATATTATTATCATATTAAAAAATCTCATTACAATACAGTGGTTTCTATATTTTAAATATTTTTTATTAAATAATAAATATATGTAGAAAATAATTATTTAATTTTATTATAATTATAGTGGTTGATAAAAAATAAAAATATAACTGTAGAGGGGTTAATAAAATTTTATAAAGTTATATAAAAGTAAAAATAATATCAACTAGCATTGTTTTGAAAATTGAGCTAAACTAGCTGTTGATTCAAGAATCTGTCAACTAAATAGTTGAATTCCTTTGAACGAACTAGTACCCAATGAACTAGTCAAAATTGGTTGATCGGACTAGTTAATTATTTTTTTACAGTGTTCACTACCATTTTATCAACTTAGACCAAAAAAATTTCTTTATTTTGATGATATTTTATGATTGAATTTATTACTCATGTACATATTTATATATTTTATTTTATAATTGTCAATGATTAAATATAAGTCTATATTATTATTATTATTAATGTGTGTTTATTTCCTCAATAATTATATAGTTATTGAAAATTATCTTCTAATATTAGTACCCACCTTTAGAAACCAAAATAATTGAGACAAGCGCTTTTTTCTAAAGAGCAAAATATTAGGCGGCAATATCCCCTTTTTGCTTTTGAGGTCTGAATCTGAATTCTGAACAATAGACCAAGGCACTGAAGGAGACTGTTCGTATTCAGTCAAAAATTTTGATTCGTTTCCTCGGTAGAAAGCAACCGAAAAATATCAAATGAGATATTACACTTCGATTTGAACACCGGCGCTATGGTTCCCTCAGTCCCCTCAGTCGGAGCCCGACCTCGTTGGCCAAGCTGTTGAAACAACTATCAAGGTTCGTGTATAGGTTTTTGTATACATTTTTCAGCAGTTTTAGCTTCATTTTGGAGTTTCATTCGATTTT